TCAGAGGTTTGTAGGGTTGGCTGGGAATACTCGCTTATTAAAAGGCGGAGTTTTGTTAAAAATGGTTTTATCTGCAAACTATAATATTTACATTTTTAAGAATAATATTTCCCACAAAAATCATTTAACTCACCTATAAAATGACTAGGCAAACCCGATACTTTTTTAATAAATAAAAAAGGGTGATTTTAACCCCTCAGCTCATTTATTGTCGCACTAAAAATATTTCATTGTAACACACAAGTTGAAATAACGTTTTAGCCGGCCTCGAGCACTCGTTAGGGTTTTTTATATATTTCGGGAAAAAACAATAATGATTTAATTTAACTTCTGAAACAGGTAGCGACGCCTACTAGCCAGTAGAGGAAAAGACAGGTAGTAAACTATGTTTTGCTACAAGTTTTTAATCATAATACAAATTTAAAAAAACTAAAAATATAATGATAAAATTTTAATTAATTTTAATTAAAAAGGTACCTACGCAAATTAATATTTTCTGGAGCTATTATCGAAAAACTTTTGGTACGTGTAAGGGTTTTTCTATATACTGAAAGATAAAATAATTGAACACAAACAATTGACACACAGCTGCCTTAAAATGTTTTAAATTATAAGTTAATTGGAGTTAAACTATGGGACTATGTCTTTGGAAACTCCATTCATTAGGCTCGATTTTTTAGTAATTATATTATTATATTATTTTATTTACTACGTATTTTTTATCTAATGGTATATGTCAAGAATATTTTTTTAAAGATTTAAGTCTATCGGAGTAAAACTCCAAGAGAGCCTTTAGAAACTCCCCCAATTAAGTTGGCAAGCATAATTTCTTAAAAAAAATGCTTATTTTTAAAATTTTGCACCTATTTTCTAAATGAACTATTGACTGAACGAAGAATTTTTTTCTTTGATCATAACCTATTTTATTTTATTTTTGTATAAATTATACTTAAAAATGTACTTTTTGCATAAAACATAAAAAATTCAAGAAAACATTTGTGGATAAAGCTATCATGAGTTATCCTTTTTAAAGTTAACCATTTTTCTTGATTTTTTTCAAAAAAACTTGTATAAAACAAGAGTAAATACTTTTTTTCAAGAACACAATAATTTTCATATTATCAGTCTAATAATTTAGTCTAATTTAGACTTATAATACTACTTCAAAAGGTAAATTATTATTAAACTCCGTACAGAAATAAAGCTAAAATATCATCATGTCAGTTAAAACTAACCTAAAAATGATGTGACAGAATATTAAGAAAGTATTTAATTAAATGCTTAAAAAATAGTACATAAAACACGGCGGCGAACGCTTATTAATTGCCTAGAACACAATCTACTGCCTCGGCAGTGAAATTGTTGGAGAATTTGAAATAATCAGTTTTGAAATATTTAGTTTTTTTTATGTAAGAGCGCTGTGATTTTTATTTTTTTTGTAACTATGTATCAAAAACAAATGACATAAGTTAATTAATTTTAATATTGATGTAGAATTGTGAAATAGTTGGATGCGCTAGTTTTTTTACGTTTCGTTTTAACAATTTGTGTATAAACAATTGTACAATAAAAGGATTAAACAATATTATCTTGGCACAATTATTCCACTGAGATATAAACTCACCAATAGAAATGTATGCTCGGCAATAATATGTGATTTCCCCTCATTGTCTGTAATATACTATTTTTAAAGAAAAATATTGACACCATTTTAACCCATATTAAATATGTAAATTTTGTAAAAACAATTTTATAAAATACTAAAATGTTAGTCTGGTATAAAAAATACAGGTAACTTCAACAATCTGCGAATAGTGCAAAAAAATTACTTTTCACATGTGTTGGGAACAATATTTTTTCTCAAAGCAAAGGAATCTCGCAATTTTCCTTATCAGTTTTTGCGGAAAGTTGCTACTTATATTTTTATATTGAATTATTTTTTGTTTTAAATTAAAAATACTATAGTAATATATTAAAGGCTTCATGATTTAATAATCCTAATCCTGTATTAATGCATTTGCGTGCGCAAGTAATCTTGCGGAAAAGTACAAGTTGGTTCACGCAAATGAATGCGGATAAGTATTACTTTGCGAGTGGAAAAAATTGTTTTATTTTAAAACGTTTTATAATTTAAGCTTTATTATTGTCAACGCTCACTTTCAAAGTATTCAATTATCTAGACTGTAAAAATAATTTAGACCAATTAGGTAAAGTTTTTTTCTACGACCACTTTGTAAAAGTCACTTTTCATGATGGCATCGTTGCTTAGAAAATGAATCTTTTTATTGGCAAGGCAAAACACGAATGTAAAGTGACATTTCTGTGTGAAAAGTAACAGGTCTATGTGAAAAGAACCGGAAAGCATCGTTTGACATTCAGCTGTCAAAAAAGTTTTTAGGTTATTTTGTTTGGTATTTAAAAATAATAAAAAATAAAAGGGTCGCAGAAAAAACATTGTGTTATACTTGTGAGAAAAGCTTTCTTCAAGCTCGTGTTAATGCACACTCGGCCTAACGGCCTCGTGGGCAACTTAAAAACTCGCATGAAAAAGTCGCTTTTCAACACTTGTAAAACAAATAACTATTACATCCTATAGTTTACTATAGTTTGTGAAAAAAACCCGTTAAAACTGCTGACAGTTCTGAAGCTATCTAACCTCACTTTATACTTTAATAATGATTAATATATTAATTATTGTAACTACGGTTTATGTATCGTTTAAAAAATAAAACTATGCCTTAAAGATAAAATGTATGCCATTCGGCTTAGAAGTTTCTTTTTGGTATTCGCTTAATTTCAAACTTTGAGCTCATCACAAAAAGACTCACTTCTAGCCTTATAACATAAATAACTATTTTCTAAGGGTTGTCTAAAATCCTAACAACAAAGAGGATACGAATAACGAAAAAAATGGCGAGACTGTCATCCGACGATGAAGCTCATCTTTTAGTATGTCAAACTTTGGTCTTTTACCCGTCGATTCGCGTATTTCGTTCGGCCAATTTCGAAAATTTCTCTCGCCCTACAAAACGTTTGAAAATTTTTCGAAAAAAATGAAAAAAGATCGCTGCTTGAAAAGTTTCCGGCGGATCCGTCCTGTTGTCAATAAGAAACGAATTATCATCTCGAAGCACCTTTTCCTCGAGTTTGGCCGAAAAATCTCCGCTCATTCGAAAGTTATGCGATTTCAACGGAAAGGGCAAAATTTGACAGAAAAAAGGAAAAAAGTGGACTTGGGCCTTTTCGACACCGGAAACATTTGGTCCCCCGATAGGTCTTGTGGGCAAAAAAAAGGATGCAAATTTCGAGGGTCCACCTTCAACGGCCTCCGAGCTACGGCGGTTCGAAGAAAACCAATACACAGACAGACTCACAAAATGAAAAAATTAAAATTCGATTACGAGTCAATACATACCTTTGAAGTTGCCCTAGATGTCATCTTCCACCTATCATCTGTCAACTTGACATCTGTCACCTGTCATCTGTCATGTCACCTGTCATCTGTCATCTACCACCTGTCACCTTTTATCTGTCAACTGGCACCTCTCACATGTCATCTATCACCTGATATTTGTCATCTGCAACCTGTCATCTGTCACTTCTAATCTGTCACCGGTCATGTGTCATCTCACAAGTCACATGTCACGTACCATTTGTCATCTGCCATTTGTCATCTGTCACCTGTCATTTGTCATCTGTCATCTGCCACTAATCATCTGTCAACTTGACATATGTCACCATTTATCTTTCACATGTCATCTGTCATCTGCCATTTCTCATCTTCCACCTTTCATCTGTCACCTATCATCTGTCATCTACCACCTGTCACCTTTTATCTGTCAACTGGCACCTGTCACATGTCATCTGTCATCTGTCACATGTCATCTGTCATCTGTCACCTATCATCTGTCATCTACCACCTGTCACCTTTTATCTGTCAACTGGCACCTGTCACATGTCATCTGTCATCTGTCACATGTCATCTGTCACATGTCATCTGTCATTTGTCATCTGCCACCTGTCTACTGTCACTTCTCATCTGTCACCTGTCATGTGTCACCTGCCACATGTCATCTCTCACATGTCACATGTCATGCCATTTATTATATCTGTCATCTCTCACCTGTCGCCTGTCATTTGTCATCTGTCATCTGCCACTAATCATCTGTCAACTTGGCATATGTCACCTTTTATCTGTCACATGTCACATGTCATCTGTCACCTTTTATCTGTCACATTTCATCTGTCATCTGTCACCTGTCATATGTTAACTTGACATCTGTCAGCTTGACATCTGTCACTTGACATACGTCACCTGTTCAGTGAACAGTGTTCACTTGACATCTGTCAAAGTGTTGCTGAATACTTTGTTGGGTTCTCCGGTATATGTATGATTTTCGAAAAAAAATAAATCGAATTTAATTCAAAGATCCACCCGATAAACGAATTTCATTAATTATCTTTTTTTGTTTACGAAATTTATGCAAAATCTGGCAACACACAATTAAATTTGGCAATGCCGCATTGTTACCTAATATTTTGTTGGATCCCCCTGTTATCGATTTGATTTCGGAGATTTTAATTGGTTAACTATTTTAAATATCGAAGAAAATTTCGTTCGTTCGGCCAATTTCGAAAATTTCTCTCGTTCGAAAGTTATGCGATTTGACGGAAAAATGGAAAAAAATAGACTTGGGTTTTGTATTTTTCTTAAGTAAAGGCTATTCCTTAAAGTATTTTAGAGTTGTAGGGCCTTAGCTTTAGAAAAATTAGACTGATTTTTTAATTTTCTTTTGTGGTTGGCTGTTGTGTTCTCTAGTTTTCTGGTTGGTGTGTGTTAAATTGCCAAGATGCCGCGTAGGATATCAGTTAATCGGTTAGTCCAGGATGAGATGATATATGATTTGAATATTAGGGGAATATCGACTACAGGAACTTGTGAGGAGTTGCGTACTCGCTTGTAAAGAACATTTAAAGCTGAGAGGGATGGGCAGCTTGCTATGCCACCCTATCCCTACACCTATGAACATGATTCTGCCGCATCAGATGCAAATATTACTGTTATTTATGAACTATTAAGGAATTTTGATGCGGGTCCTAAAAGTAATGAGTATTTAAAGCTGGAGACCAAGCTTTCTCACACAATCGGAAGAGCAGATCGTATGGTTGCTACTGGTCATGAAGATGAGAAGACAGATTACATTACCCGTCTTAAAGGACTTTTTAAGACGCTGGATGACAAGGCTGATGACTATAGTGCCAGGCAACGAGCGATTCCTGAAATAAGTGTGTTGGAAGAGGAAGATGATCCAGCTAGTGATGATGACCTTCACGAAGAAGCGGAGGGTAATGTGACCACAGCTAGTACGCATCTGAGTACAGTAGTGAGGCCTGTTCCAGTTCGCCAGTGGGGATTAGTTTTTACAGGAGGAAAGAAAGGTATGTCGGTGAATGCATTTTTAGAAAGGGTTGAAGAGTTGCAACTTGCTAGGCATGTCTCCTCTGAAATGCTGTTTGAGTCCAGCATAGATTTGTTCGCTGAGAAAGCGCTGGTTTGGTTTAGGGATGCCAGAAGGAGTTGTAGCAATTGATCTGAGTTGGTTAGGATGTTACGTGAGGAGTTTTTGCCCCCTGATTACGACGAAAAGCTCTTTGACGAAATTAAACACAGAACACAAGGTGCTGAGGAGAGTATTGGTATATATTTGTCAAATATGTCTGCATTGTTTAATCACCTTACGCACAGGATTCCTGAGGAAGTGCAGTTGAAAATCATATTGCGTAATATTGCTTCATATTTTCAGTCACATTTAGGACTTGTTGATGTCACGTCATTGTCGCAGCTTCGTACTTAGTGTCGTCGGTTAGAAGCTCGTCGCTCAGCGGCTGAGTCTTTTGCTCCCCCTACTAGACGTGTAAACACACTGGAACCTCAGGAGCCAGTAGAACTATTTTAGGCGGGCCAGGTTGGCAATTGATGAGGGACTTTATTGGTGAACAATTAGATGTACGTCGTCAAACTGTTGTGTCTGTCGCGAATGGGAACAGATGTAAAAGTTTGGGTGTTTGGAGGACTTTGGTTAATCTAGAAGGTGCAGAAAAGATGATATATATTTTGGTGGTGCCGGAGTTGCCTCATACGTTGATTTTAGGGATAGATTTTTGGAGTCGGATGGGAATTGTACCAAATTTGAGATTAAATGCTTGGGTTTTTTGTAAGGATGACGGTATTAGAGTAGACGAAATTATTCAGGATAAGAATTCATTGTCACAGGAACAGTTGAATATTTTGGAGGAGATCGTTCAGCAAGCTTTTGAGGGTATGAACAAGTTAGGTTGTACAGATGTGGTGAGGCATAAAATTGAGACTAACGCGGAACCTATCAAGCAAAGATACTATCCTGTATCACCACAAGTACAAAAATATATAGATAAGGAGTTGGATGAGATGTTGGAGAAGGGTATTATAGAGCCGTCTAATAGCCCTTGGAGTAGTCCGGTCGTCAGGGTGCGGAAAAAGAACGGAAGCTATCGTTTCTGTATTGATTTCCGGAAACTGAACAAGGTTACTAACGCGATGCTTATCCACTGCCATATATTTCCTCAATCCTAGACAAACTTAGAGATGCTAGGTACCTAACTTCCCTGGATCTTAAATCTGCTTACTGGCAACTGATGCTGGAGTATAGTGCTTGCCCGCAAAATTCGCTACTCGTAGTAAGATGCCCTAAAGGTATAATAAACCTTCAGCGACTTATTGAACCCTAGCCATTGTAGCTACAGTGAAGAAGGGGTGGGATAAATAAAATCAAAAATACCTAGGCGCCACTTAGTTTTTAAGATCCAATAAGGTAATGGTACTAACAAACTAAGAAACCTCATACAACAAATTGAGTCGGCAACGTACTACTAAAGTACCGAATGTTTGATGTTAACAAAAATACTAAACAGGAAACACCGCAAAGGAAACGAATAAAATAAGCACTAACCAGATTTAAACACGTAACAATTTATCTGTATCTAAAAAAACAAAATATAATATTTTTGGAGCTAAATGAAAGTGTTAAATTCTACAAACACTCTGTATAAAAAAAAATTACAAAAAAAATATAAACAAAATTAAATGTTAAATATCTATCAGTACACCCTGTATATAAACAAGCAAAACAATATTTATAATAATATTCTACCTATATGACGTTCTACCATAAATATATCTATATAACTAGAATTAAAAAAGTTGTTATTCAAGTGAGCATAAGCGAGTACAGCAGGTAAGTAAATATACAAATTATTTTCGTTCAGCATGCATGCGTACCCGAAAATGTACAAATATTTCAGTTGGACAACTTCCGTGTCTGGAACAACGCTTATCTCTGAAAACCACTCTCACCAAGTGAAATAACCCAAATATTGAGATTTGACATTTGTACGCGTAATATTATAATGATAATAAAAAGGCCATAAATTGCCAACTATTGCAACTCAAACTTGCATAAACTCCCAATCAAAATGGAGTTAGTCAAACACTTGTGAGTAGAATTTATCAATAATTACAAAGTATCCTATAAAATTATTAAAGTAAGGTTATAAAACAATAATCGTTCTTTAAACTATGTATTAGTATGATTTTTAAGTAATTAATTTATAGGGTACTGGTAAACTAGTCCATAAATACCTGGCTACTATTCTTAAATAAATATTGTCTTGTTATTAGATTAAACCTGATTGTGCCGAAGATCTTCCTAGTTATGGCAGAAACGCAGTGGAAATATGTAGGCAAAAGCACTGGACGCTCTTCCAGTTTCTTGATACAGGTACGCAGTAACAACAAAACTTGGAGTTCAAAAGGACAGTACGGAACACTACAATTTTAAAACCATGTACCAAAATAAAACACGAAGAATTCCAATCAAAAATGCAAATAAATACGTAGCATATAAAAACCCTAAAATAAATATATTACCATTAAAAGGTTTGTACACCTTTTACGAACAAATACGAACACAGACAAGTAATTTAACCATACAGTTATAAGAAAATCTTACCTTCAGTGACAACGAAGGGTTATTCTAAATAAATGTAATTCTTGTAGGCTCGTTGGATTATTGGCAGCAAAGAGTGATTTTCTATCCCGAAAAAAATCGGCTAGATTTCTTGATAACCAAAATAACTATTACAAAGTACCAGAAATCACTTGTAAAACCATTCATCTAATTTCCCCAGAAGGATGGGTAATTTTACCACAAATATTTAAAGATGAAAGTTTTCGTAAATCAAACCCCTAAGCTTAACCAACCACTTGTTAAACCGGAAATCGAGTGAGTGACACAGTAATTAAAGTGGCTCTTCTTTTTTTTAAGAAAATTTTTGGCGCATTATTTAAACTGCCAATGATGATAACACTTGAAGGAATACACTGTGAAAATCTGACAAAACCAATGGAGAATTCAATTTATTTAAATTACCGATCTTAAAGTTAAATATAGTAAAATAAAATAACACTGTCATTAATTTATTATTAAGAAATAAAGAAATAAATAGCATGACTAAAGCCTGAATTATAGATTGCCTTCCTTCCTTCCTCCCGTAGTCGTGCCCGTACGATTTGTGCGTCTTGTAAAAAGTCAATTTATAGATTTTCGTGTAAAATTCCGTAACCATGCGCGATGACACCTAAAATGGTTGACATTTATTTTTGTTTATATTCTGCGTTTTACCCATTGTGTGTAAATATGAAAGATAATCATTTATATATTAGTGCAGTGATCACAATTTTAATTGCCCAGGAGCTTGTTGTATACTGTCGAACTATGAAGAAAGGCAGTAACTGCTAAACAAGAAATTTATGAGAAATTAGCATAACTACATTTTTATAAAAAGCAGTAGGTATTTAACTGATTTATTTAACTTAAAAGATAGTTTACTGCATTTCTTTGTTGAATTAAGATACAAAATGTCCATAGCTTTATCATAGCACAAGAAAACGCATTTGTCACTGCCTTTGTCCATAGTAGGGCAGTATAATAAAAAAACATCGAACAAGACGTTGGAAGACTCGCCCACTTTACCAAGACCGGGAAACTACGGGGTTTTACAAAGCAACTTTTCTAAAAATGAAAGACATTGATCATAAACAATATCTAAATATTCTATTTAGAGATACTTACAAATTATTTAATAAACTGAACACCTATCTTAAATTATACTAAACAATCATGTATTTTAAATACACTGTGATTGGTCATGTCAAAGACCTTTACGGTGAAAAATAAAACTTAAAAATTTCTACGGGAGGAAGGAATGCCGTCCTTACGGTACGGGAATTTATAACTGTCACTACGATTTAAATAAACATTTTTGACGTAATTGTCACCATTAACATTGCGCGTTATTAATTTTAATTAAACTTAACAATTATTGATACTTTAAAATATTAAAATAACTTGAAAATATGATTTTATTAAGAAAATATTTTATTCTTTGATTTTTTTTATTACTATAATTGCAAAATATTATTACAAAGTATTAAAAATTCCCACACGGGAAATGTTAATGGTGACAATTACGTAATGTTCATCTTCTACGGGAGGAAGGAAGGAAGGAAGGAAGGCAATCTATAATTCAGGCTTAATCCCCTTTACTTTATTTTGAATATTTAAAATCACGTTGGTACTACTGCAAGTGGGGTTACCAACCGAACAGCTAATTAAAGTCACTAGGTGCTTTCCTTTCATTTTTGAAGTGAGCCAAGCAAAAGTGAGATAAGCGAGGCCACTTACGCGCACTCATCTTACCTAAAATAGACCAAAGGAACGGTTGGTAAGCCTATTTTCTCTAAAAGTGACACTTGACAGTTTAACCCTTATGTTCTGTGGTTTAACCATTTCCCTCAACGGTTTAACGCAAAGATTAAAGACTTAACGAACAAAATGTCGAATCAAATAATACAGGTAGTTAAAAATATAAATCCAATTTAAACAATAATAAATACCTTTTTTTATTCTTTAATTTTATAGAATGTAGTGAATGCAATATTCAGCAGCGATTCTGAAAATACTAGTTTAATCGTATCGTATCATCGTAATCGTAAATTACTATTTAAATAGTAATACCTACAATTGTAGGTATTCTAGTAGCCGAATAAATCATTCAATTTGAAATCCGAATGAAAATATGCGATTGATAATCGCGGATTACTTAATTCGAAAATAAACGGCGATTATTAATCGCATACTTTCATTCGAATTATCAATTCGAATTAATTATTCCGATATTGAAGTCCGAATGAAAGTAGGTATGCGATTTATAATCGCCGATTATTTAATCGAATTATCATCCGATTATTGAAATAATCCTATTGGATATAATCGGTTATTGATATAATCCGATTATGCCCATCACTAATATTGTTTTAATTTTCTTCTGTTTTGTTTGATAGAAAGTTTACAACCTCACTTTTTGGCATGCATCTATCCCCACCACCAAGAAATCAACATTTCTCATTTGTAAGTGTGCTCCGGAGGTTGTGCTTGATCGGTAAGGGGGGAGGTTAAATTCTCACTTTGGCTTACCTGTCATTTTGCAAATGGAACGGTCTCTAAAGTGAGATAAACCAAGGTGAGGTAAGAATATCTAAGAATCTTGGCAAAAGGAAAGCACCTACTATCTTGACAGTAAAAGTAAACATTCACTTAAATATGAAAAAATATTCAAGTTCCACAGAAAATATTGTATGTATAGGTAGGAATTATGCAAGATTTTCTTAAAACACAGACCTATTAAAGAAAGGTATACAAAATAAAGACAATTTAATACAAAAATCCTAAAAATTTATGGTAGGCGAAATTTGCACGTTACATAATATTCTTAAGAGAGAATTGAACCTTCATCTTTCTTATGAATATTACTAGTAGTGGGTCAAGAAATTTTTTTAAAGAAACTAAGAAAATTAAATGTTTACCTTGATTGATTGATTGATTGATTTGAAGGGGAGCCTTTGCAGGCAGCACTTAGGCACACATATGGCCCATTGTGCAAACCCCCTTTTGTTGAAGCTCTGCCTTACCTTACGAGCCCGCAGCTTTTAAGAAAAGCGCAGACCCGCTCTGGTAGGGCATGCATTATTTCCTCTGGTTCCAAGTATCTGTCCCCTAGGTGTCTTAGTCTACTATTGACTAGAGCGTCGCATTCGCAGACTATATGCTAGGTAGTTTCGTCTACTTCGCTGCAGTACCTACAGTCCGACTCGTTGCTGAGTCCGGTTTTGTGTAGGTGGTATTTGAATACCCAGTGTCCTGTTAGGACTCCTGTGATGG